GAGAGAGAGAGAGAGAGAGAGTTGCGTGAGAACTTCCGAGCAAAATAAAATGGCGACCCGCGTAGTTCGACTCGATTCGAAAAGTAAAATAACCATTGTATCTCTTTTGTGCTATTCCTAATTTTGGAATACTGTCTATCGATGAGGATGATCAAATTGACAAGAGCAAAGAAAAAGGCCCGCTCTATTTCTCCGAACGCTCAGGAAAATAAACCTGATCTCTATTTCTCAGAACGGTTTCCATTTTCGAGATTTTTTGTTGCAAGAGTGCGGGCGTCATCTTTCATTCTGCCATTCTGCATGGACTGGGAATAAGAAGCATTTTTTGCTTCGAAATCAATTTCTAGAGCTAGAGATTTTTAGATGTCTAAATATTCAGATACACTTCAATTGTGGTTGGGGCAACTTTCCCGGACTAAATCGACTTCATTTGAATGCCTTCAAAAGGCAATGCGAGGAAACAAGACTGCTCGACTGGGGCAGTAACCTATTTTGCATTTAGTAACCCCTAAAGAAAAGAAAAAAAAATTTTATTTAACCCTCCCTTCCCCCCCCTCCCCCGTTCACACCTTATACACACACACCACTTACACACACACAAACACACCTACCCACACACATGCGCTCGCCACTCCACCCATACTCCATTCGCAAAAATAACGGAAGCCTCAGTTTATTTTCCCGAGCGTTCGGAGACGCTAGTCGGAAGGACTTCCGTAAAGAAGAGACCTACCCCTACCCTACCCGTAACCCCACCCCTACCCCTAACTCTAATCCTAATAATCCTACCCCTTCCCCTACACCTAACCCTATCCGTAGCCTTCTATTCTAGTAATTCTACACTGTTCATCCATAGAGTCAATAGAGTGGTCGCTCGTTACGGAAGTCCTCCCAAAACAAATAAAGGAGGATGTATAAATTGGGTATGCCATTAGATCTACCTTTCACTTCAATTTTAAAAAACAATTATTGCACCATATAAACTATAAGATTCTAGATCTAGACCTAGATCTAGATATATCTAGATCTACGTCTTGTCAAAGATGATGATTCCATTGACAATTCCCAAGGAAAATACAGGCATCAGTTTTGTTATCGAAACTGCGTTTCTCGACTTCCGTTTCCTGTCAGGGAGCGTTCCTTTTTTTCCCCAGCAGTATTTTTGGTCGCAGAGTTTACCAAAACTAATCGGTAGGCCTATATGAAGGCCAGGCCTATGGATCTTGATAATCTATCTGATTTGGACAATCTAGGCCATATGGACAGAGTACCATTAAAGGCTTTTTTCTTTTTGTAGGGGGGTCATCGTCACAGCTTCTCTCTCTCTCTCTCTCTCTCTCTCTCTCTCTCTCTCTCTCTC